AAGGGAATATCTGAACCCAAGCAAACTGCTTCTTCAGAGAAGCTGGACAGACTGGAGAAGAGGCTGAGAAGAAAAAGTCAAACTGTGGTTTGAATTATGAATTTGCATTAGGCCAGGGTTCAGGAGCTAATAGCAGAAGATGGAATCTGCTTTCTTGGGCTGCCACCTTAAAAGCAATAACCTGGCTGTCCTGCCAGCTGGAGGAATACAAAGGGGCCTGATTTGGCTCAGTATGAATCAAGAGAAAGGAAAATGGTCAATCCATGAAGGTGAACAGATGCTTAAAAGAGCAGCTGTGCACAGTTATGGGTTAGTAGTAGATGAGTGATGTGTAATCCAAAAGAAACCAACTACGAGGCATTGAAATAGATCCAGATCACTGATCTGAAGGGCGAGTGTGGAAGACTCAGAGGTTTTGGAAACAAGGAGTCTGGCACAATGGCACTATCTTGGTTAGAGAAAAAAATCCCAGATTGACCTATTTCACACATCCACTGATGTCTTTGGAGAGTTTTGATTAGCATTTTGTAGCTCCTTATATAGCTATGATAGTGTTAATAGCTGTAATCTCTAAGCATCATTCAGCTAAGTGGTAGGAACAATTAAATATCCCTCTGGGTGCCAGGCGTAGAAGAAACAGGAAGATGCCGTGTTGGGCAGGAGACTCCAAAAAAAGGCCTGGAGAACTCTATGAGAATGACTCGAGGGCTGCCTCTGTGCAGTGAGAAGCCTGCAGGGCTTCTTGAGCTGCCTGTGCCAAAGCCCACTCAGGGCAGCTCAGACAAAAATCCCAACTCCAGCATGAAGGCAGTCCAGCTGTGCTATGGGGTTGGGGCCATAGTGAAATTGAGTTAAGGCTGAATGGGCAGAAAATGTGCTTTTCTTTATAACATTGGCAGAGTGTGTAGATAGGTCATTCATGCCCATGCGCATCAAAAAAGAAAAAAGAAGTAAGAAAAGAAAACCTCTCAAGCTGAAATGCAACATGCTTAAGAAAACCAGTTCTTTTTCAGGGCAGGTCACTGCTGTCCACATCCTTGACCACAACAGGGGCTCCCCATCTCATTGTGAACTTCACCCTCTTCTAGTCAGCACCAGTGTGTGTTTGGGGCTCTTTGTTCTCCCAGTTGCCTCTGTGAGAAGTTACAGGGCAAATCAAGTTACAGGGACCCAAAGACTGTAGCTGTCCTAGTGAACTGAACAATGGAATGACATGGCCTCCAAGGCTCAGGAAAGACTGTCTGTACTTCTGGACTGGGAGCATGCGTCCCAGCTCAGGATCCAACTCTGCCAGAGCTGATCACCCAGAGGCTGCTCCCAAGGACCAGCATGGATCAGCCTGGTCTGCAGATGGACAGTTTACCCAGACAGATACAGTCTGTGCACTGTCAGAGAGTGGTCATTGGCTGCTTTATTCACTGTTTTATGGCTGCTGTCAAAAGCCCTGACTGGTGAGGGTCCGTAAGGAGATCTGCTGATCCCCAGCTTTCCTGCCTGCCTCTCTAAGACTACTGGCCCATTCAACTATCTTTTTAGGTCTGTTCCCCAGCACAGGCATCATTGTGGTCCAATGGATGGACTAAAGTCTGTTGAAACAAAACACCTACTGAGGTAAAAAGGAGTTAGGGGAGTTGTTTTATATATAGTCAAACCAAAAGTTTCTCCCGTTGATCCTGTTATTTGAACTGCCTGATGTTTCCAACTCTTTTCCCAAAGAGTTGCCTGAAGCAGGGACTTGACAAGCAAATTTTTCCTCAAGGCATTAATGTTTGATGATGCTATAAACAAAGTAAGATGAAGGAAAGTGTTTGGCATCTGTACCTGCTGGCCATGCTGCCAGCTCTGCTCAGGAATACCCAGCCTGTGGAAATTCCTGTATGCTCAAAGTATTTATTGCAGAGTTTTCTGGCTCATTTTAACAAATTCATTCATGAGTCTGTGGGTAATGAGCAGACAGCCCCACAGAAGAAAACTCTGGGCTGACCTTCTTGGTGGACAAGATGCAACACATCATTTCACTATAAGTCCCTCATAAAAAATCTAATAAAGGGTGCTAGCGGAATTCAGATTAATCCATATCTTTCTGAAGAGCCTTAAAATGGCAATGATTTTATACAATTCTGTTGAGATCAGTTGAATTTTGCACTTCATGAATTCACAGTTAAATAGAACGGAAAAAATAGTGTATCTTCATAACAAGTTCATGTCCTCCAAGACTGAGATCTTCAAAAAATAGCACCTAATTCTTGAGACATATTTGGGCAAATTCATTTGGACTTTATTATCTTAAGGGTCTTTTCCAATCTAAATTTCTATTCTAAGTCCTTCTCCTTGAGAAGGACTCCTTCCTTGAGAAGAGGTCTTATGCTTGTGATTGATTGGGTTTGTATCCATGTTTGTTGCCCTTCTCCACTACTCTTAGCATACTGTCAATAAAGAAGAAGAAATAGGGTGAGAGAAGATTTGAATAAACTGACCCTATTTGTCAAAAGATGCTTATTTTCTGTATTTAAAGATTTTCTCTTTTCCTTATACTGAAATACTTGGCATTGGTGCTTAACTTTCATTTAAGTATAAAATTATAGTATGCATAATGTAATCTGATAGAAATAAATTTATGAGGGAGAGAGAAGATAACTGAGGCTTATGCAGAAAAATAATCTCATATCTAGAATCTGAAAGTAAGAAGCCGGACATCTGCAGTCCAAGTCTGCAGAATCATTCATATTATACAGCAAAAAGCTGCATCCTTACTTTAAATAGGTCACAGGAGTATCATAAAAAAGGAAAGAGAAAGATCTAATGACAGGAAATAGGACTGCAAACAGAGGAAAAAATATAGGGCAAGACTATAAAGCACAATGTTTGTTATATCTGCCCTCCCAGTTCCTGTGCAAACACCTCAGATATTCTTCTATATTTCATAGTTTAAGGCCAATCTTGTCTCTTAGCATATTAAAGATTTGCTAAATTAGGATTAAAGCTCTTGAAGGAGCTAGGATCAAAGCTTTTATAGCCAATGTTGAAGTGCATATTCTAATGCTTATAATTGCTAAATAGAAATTGATTTGGCATATTATATGCATCATATCTTACAGCAGAGTTAATTAATTGGCAGTTACATTTCTTCCTAGGTAGCCCATGGCACTTTTTGATTAATTTTTAAACAAATTTAGTTCAGATTTCCTATTTCCTACAGGTTTTTTTTTCTTTTCCCATGACCTAAATGGGATGACTGAAAATATATTCATAGGTCCTTTCTACATTATGATGATATTGCATTTTATATGAAAATAGTCAAGAAGCTGCACTCTACTCAGAAGAGCAAACAGTTCTTTGCAAGCGTGTGAGATGAAAACTCTACACGCTTGTCCTGAGACATGAAGCAGCACAGAAAAATTGGAGTCAGAGCCCGCTTGAATGTACAAAGATGCAAGGGCTGAATTATGGAACCAGGCATTCCTCGAGTGCAAGTTCAGTGCTATAAGCTGGAAATACTTCCAGCTTGGGATTTATTCTGCTGTTGGTACAGTAAATGCCCATTAAAACACTGAGAGATTGACACTGATTTTAACAAAGCAGCATCTCTTTGTAATAAATAGCAAAACCACCCATTTTCACATTTGTAAATCTGATAGGTTTTTTTTTTTCTCCAATTCACATGGGAAGATGTGTTTTATAGTTCTTATTTGGAATATTCAACAGGTCTTTGAAAGCATAAATTAGAGAAATGTGCTCACATCCACAACAAGGTCTCTTTCCAGGAATTAGAGGGGCACAAACTACAATGAACATTTTGCAGTGAGAACATACTGGGGGTTCTTTTTCTTTTTTTTTGGTCACAGAAATTATTTGGCAGTACAATTTCTCTGATAAAATGTACCTAAAACACCTCCAGCTTTATTTTTAGTTACCTGAGTTAAAACCAACTTCTCCCAGAATTGGGCAAGAATATTTTAAATAACTTCTAATAAAAATTCCATTTACACAGTTTCTTAGTGTATCTACCTCTGTAAATAATATAACTTTTTGTGACTTAACAGTATATCCTCATTTTCACTAATTGAAGGTCTTTCATTTTTCCATTATCTTTTAGGGAAGGCATCAATTCTTTATTTGGATGTAGTTGCATATTGAGGGTGTAATATACATGTTTTTGAAGAATGATTCATATAGTAAGACCATAACTTTTTGGAAGTTTGCAATGCTCTGAAGACCAGATTCACAAGGAGGGAAATTTAGCCTTTAAAAGCAATTTGGAGCTCCATAGTGTCCATAGCTCCATAGTATTTATTGCTTAATATCTGTGTTAATAATTTTTCTACAGGTTGGGGAAAGGCCTGCAAAAGATGAATTTTGCCCTCCACCGTACACCCACTATGAAGTTCCACCAAGCTTTTATCGATCTGCCATGATCCTGAAGCCACAGCTGGGACTGGGTGCAGTGTCCAGGTTGCCATCTGCCAAGAGCAGGATTCTCATTGCAAGTCAAAGGTCCTCAGGGAGTTGTCTCCATCAGCAAGGAGAAATAACAACTGCTCCCAGTCTCTATCATCCTGATGCTTCAGGTAAAGTATGAACTTTCTTTCCTTTCCCTTTACTGTTGTCACCCATAAGATACCTTTTTTTTTAAGACAGAAAAATCACAAAGTGAGCAGCATTTTGACCTGATTGTACAAAGTTCCAACAGCACTTTGAGATGTGTCTTTTTATCCTGTGGCGAGGCTGAACAGGGAGTCTGGGACTTGTGCAAAGGTTGTTTCGCAGGTCATTGCCAAAGAAAGAGAATGGTTTTCAATAATAATTCTCACTTTTCACCTTTTTATCTTCCTCCACCTTGTAAATGCCTGAAAAATCTTTGATTTTGTTCTGGGGAAGAAAATGGGACATATTCTTCCATCATGAAGACCCCAGCACTCAGTCTGGATTTGACATTCCCCACCATGTTGTGCTCTGAAAACCTGGGCAGTGTTCAAATGTGCCAGCAGAGATCTTAATTCTCTGAAGGCCTGGTGTACACCTCTTTGGAGACAACACTTCTAATACCCTTTTCTTCCTGGCTAGTGCTCATCTCAGTATGACCCTGGGCAGAATTACAGGAAGGGAAAAGCATGAGAAGAGCTGGAAGGAGAAGTGTGCGGTGTCACAAGAAAGGGACAGTAATTGCTTCTACAGGACACTCCTTAGAGCCTGGAAAAGTGTGGAGGTTTAAAAAATGCACCTTTCAACAGGAGCAAGTTCAGAGACAACTGAAAATCAGTCATTGTGAAAGTGAAGTGTAGCAGCTGTTTAACAGGCTAGAATGCTGCAGAGATTTTTAAAAGTAGTCATAAGGGGTAAAGTTAATTAATGATTAAGTTCATATGATCCCTTCTCTTGCCCCAGGATGGGATTCCTTCTGATGTATCTTTATTTAACCTGTTCATGAAAAACTATTATAAAAACCTTCAATATGAGATCTTGGAACCTCTGAAAGTAGGACTGCTCCAATGAATTACCTGTTTTCAAGTTAAAAGTGTTCCCTATTGTGTTTTGCCTTACTCCTTTTATTACAGTTTGCTTCCTCTTTCCTCTGGAGTAGTTGTGGGGTCTTTTCCTCTTTTGCAGGTATTTGAAAACTATTGCCATCTCTCCACAGTGTTCATTTGTCCATACAAAGGAGCAGGAGAAATTAAGAAAAAATTAGAATGGAAATGCACCAGAGCATCTGGACTTTACCCTGAGAGGATGGTCTCAGTCAGTAATACAGGTTGACAGGATTTGGGGCTTATCAGAAAATCAAGGTTCTCTGTAGTACAGTGCCTCTTGCCAGTATCCTTTACTATCTGACCCTACATCTAGAGTTTATCTGATGCCATTAGCAGAAGCTGACCAAACTCAACTGTATGTGACTTCTGAGACACCCCAAGATTGCAGGCTATGTTGTAAATACCATGTCTGCCCTGTGACTTGAGTTCAGTCAGCAATGAACATGGGAATACAGGTGCAGAGAGTAATTGGATCATAATTTCCATTTAAATGAAAGTGCAAGAGTCTGTGAGTTCAGAATATGGTGTTACAGGAACTAGTTTGGGAAATAGATAAGAGAGAAAATGCAAACAGAACCCATTTCCAAATAAACCTTTTTTTCTGATCCTCAGAAATGAGCACTGCCTTCATTTTTATTCATCCATCACCCCTCCATTATCCACATAATCCTGCATCATTGATGCAGACATGACTTTTCCTTGGCCACTTTTAATCCATACAGGAGCTTGTCTTGCATGTATTCATTTACTGTCTTCTATGTTATGTGACATTTTAAAATCTAAACAGGATCAGCTTAGCAGTCTCTTTTTTTATCTGTAGTACCTCCTTTAAAAAAAGCCAGTACATGAGGAGTGTACATAAGTAAATTGCACAATCTGTTACTGTGATTCTATTCCACTAAAGTGGTATTTTTAAACGTTTTCATATTTCTCAAAGTTTTTTGGTTTTTTTTTTTTTTTTGGTCACTTTTTAAATTTTAAAAAAATTATTTACTTTTTATCACTGATTATTTTTTGGACTTTGTCTGCTTTGGAGGTCAAGCTCTATTTACAGCTCTTCATAATTTCCTTCCTACAGCTGTTATTTTGCTTGTTTCTCTCTAGTCTATTGATACCTTGCTGTTTCAGAAAGGGTATAAAAGATAACTCCTGGTAGCCCAATAATCTGTCTGACATCTCTTTCAGGACCCCAAAGTGTGTCTCATCTGATCTTTGGGCTCTGATGGTTTTATGGATTTTAAATTACACAAGACTTGTTCTGGAGAGGTTGCTAATGTCTCCAGTTTTTCACTGTCCACCCCAGGACACATTGTTTTCACTTCACCTTTCATTTTTCTTGCAAGATGAAGAATGTCTTTAATTTTTCTGCAGTACCTTATTCTGTTGTGAAGTACTTTTCACTGCTCTCCTTTGGTTCAATGCCTCTTCTTACTTATCTTTTGTGTACTTATGAAATCTTACGCTGGTTTCTTTACATTCATTTTTTTTAGCATTTTTTCCCAATTATCTATTCAAGATTTTTTTATAATCATCTTTTCCTTGACTAAAGCCTTTTTCCTCGTATGCCTCAAATGACTTAGTTCTTCTCTCAGCAATGTATAACTTCATAGGTCAGCTTACCAGACTTTTTTGTTTTTAATACTTCCTTTTAAAAAGAATAATGAATTGCTCATGAAAGAGGCTGAGGTGACAGAAGATAGGACAAGACTGGTATAGGAGTGCAGAGGCATCAGAGAACTGATTCCTGTGCCTGTATCCACAGCAGAGCACATATGCAGACCAGAGATGTGTTGCTGGTTGCCATGGAGGGGATGGATGGTACAGCACCCCCTGGCATGCCAGAGCTGTTGGGGTGTAAATTAGAGGAGCTCATAGTAGGCTAGACACCTTTTAGCCATCTGTGTTAAGGTACCCAACACCCTTTTCAACCACTTTCCCTTAATTTGGCTGTTAGCTGTAGTATATTTGATCTGCATAATTGGTTCTGCTGCACTATTTGAAAAACAAGATTAAACACAGCTTTGATAGAGTCATATTTGCAAACATGAGTAAATAACATGCATGAACATATGGGCAGCATCTGGGATGCAGAGCCAGTAAGACTTGCTCACGGGTGTTGTGGGGTGTGAGAGCTTGGGTGACTTCAGCCAAAGCAGCTAGGGACTGAGGGGTATTTTTCTGTCAGGGATACCAGGCCTGCCTTCAGGATTGCTAATCAGCATCTCTTGCAGCTTGATCCTGAGCTTTTAATCCAGTTTCCAATCCTGCTGATATCAGTCATGCCCTGAGGTAATGGAAACAGAAGGATCTAGCCAGTTGCTATCCTGTGACAAAGTGTGCGGTAAGGCAGAGGCTTTTAAACTGAAATTGCTGTGGCACGGTATCGAGGACAGCAGCAGTGCCTCTTAATGAGGATTTTATTCCCCTTTGCCATACCATTCATAATGCAGCAGTCTGGTTAAGCAGCACTGATAAGAGGGGTGGTTTGGCCCATGTATAATACTAATCCTCATAAAAATGACTCTGAAGTAATTGATAATTAAATCCCTGAACTGTTGTGATGGACTGCAAGTATTATAAGTGCATTAATGGTTTTGTTAGTTTTACGTTATGCCAAGTAGAAAGTAAAATGATGATGGGTGCTCCCTCAAGTGTGATCTCTAAGTGTGATGCCTAAAGTGTAGTTGGATCAGTGATCCTTCTGCATTAGGAAGTAGGACACGTGGTGGCATTGGCTGCAAATGTCTTATTAAGCAGTGCTGCTCCCTCAGTGGTGCTTTGCCTCAGGTAGGTCGGACAAGAAGCCTGACTGTAAGAAAAAGTGGTCTGCAAAGCAGGTAAAATAGGGAGTCATTGAATTATGATATACTTATAGGTGCCATAGAGTCTCTGAAAGCTTAATATTTATTTATTTTATGTAAATAGACTCTGCTCTTTCTATGGGAAACTTGTAAGTCAAAACAAGCATTGAAGCATACTGTGTCTATAACATGTAAAATATTAATATGCTTTCCTTGGATATAAAGACTTCTTGAAGCAAGTGTGTCAGGATTTGCATTCATTAGCTGATTATTTTGATGGAATTAATGTCTGATTTTGAAAAGTATAACAGAGATCTCATCATTAAAGCTTCACTTTAATTATGCTCATTAATTTAACTTAATTCTACATTTTTCAGTAGTGTTTAGGGTATTTTTTCTCAAAGAGTGAGTTAATGAAATATTACTTCCTTATCACCTCACTGTGTATTAAAGTTGTCAGTCCCAAGGGTCTAGCTGTTCCTCTCATTTCTAAGCAAGCCAACTTTCATTGAAGATAGAATTTACCCATAAATCAGGACTGCAATATTTGTCCTTCCTCGGACAGACACACATATATATTTGTGTCTTTGCATATGTATGATGTGTTTCATTTCCAATGCCACAATATGTCTACAGCTTTCTCCCAGCAGGAAAGTTTTATTTTCATGTATACTCTCAAGAATAAACAACCAAATAATGACCTATTAATTGAAAATGTAAATTAGATCTGATGATAGAAAAGAGGTTTTGAGGTTACTTCCTGAAATATTGCCTTACTGCTACTCCAGCTCTGTCTGTACTTGCAGTCTGAGGTCCTTGGGTTAGAACTGGCAAGCTTCTTAACTGGTTAAAGAAAGAGGGACAAGGGAATAGTTCAGAGAGGAAAATGTTCTATGTCCTCCAATGCTGTTTTCTGTTCTCACTCTCTATTTTCTTTGAGAGAGCAAGCTGACTGTATTTCATTAAAAAAATTAAGTTTCAAAGGGACTCACACATTTCCTCATAAATTTTTTTAAGGACATTGTCATCTTACTTGAGACATTGCCATCTGCCACCTCTCTGCTCCAGTTACTGTGTCTTCAAGGAACTAAACCCCATCATTTTAGAAGAGTAGTCTATATGACAGTTGTACCAAGCTGTCACTTGTAAGAAGAGTATGTGGAGCAATCTGGGTGTAGGAGCAGGCAAATGCTTCCTACCTTGCCTCCTTCCTGCTGAGAGCCAAGCGTTGTCTCTGGCTGGACATCCACAGCCCTTCTGAGCAAGCCAGTGAGATGCAGCTCTAGTGCAGAGAAGTGTTCTGGCTGCACTGGGCTGCAAGTGGAAAATGCAATGAGTGAGACTTATGCACGGATGATTCCTGTGCTGCAGGTTTTTGAGGATGCCGCGCTTTTCACATTAGCTGCCAAGCAAACACGGACATTTGCAGCTTGAATGAGTTGTGAGATGACAAGTTCTTGGGGTGTTGAGAAATGTACTAACCTGCCTTGGTTTGCCTGGGAGCTGGGAAGGCACAGAGCAGATTTTTGGCTCTTTTAAATCTGCTTCATGAGGAGGTGAGCATTTACTACCATAGTAGTAGTAGTTCTGATGGTGAACTGACCCATCAGAAATTAATCAATGTTCAACAGTGACAACTGTTTGGCCTTTGGAACCGAACTGTTCCAGGCTTGACAGTATTTGGATGAGAGACCATCAGGGCAGCTGGGCTCAACCTGCTCACTGCTGTTTAGGTGTAAAGTATTAAAGCTCCTATTCTAAAGGCCCTTTCTTCAGTTCTTGTTCAGAGATAAATTATTATGTCTATACAGGGAAACCACAAATGTAGTTTGTAGAAAAGATTTCTTACTTGTGTGATTTGTTTTTAATCTACAAAGATACCAATGTTTGGGTTAACTCTGAGCTGGGTTAACTTGGCTTGTATTATCTCTGACTGATGCAGTGACTTTGGAGGTAAGTTTTTTACCCCAGATTTCCCAATATGCAGTGAGAATAGTGATGTTCAGATCATCAGTAAGTGAGAGGAAATGACATCTAATGATTAAAGTTTTAACAGAAATGCTGGTAAAAAAAAATTAAAAGGGAAAGCAAAGAAAACTAAAAAACTCTACAACCAGACAACAAAGATTTGCCAAGGATCCCTGAATTATGGAGTTTTAAAGTCTTGAACTGCTACTCTTTTTCATTAGAACATATCTGTATAAGTAATTTCTTTAATTTTTCATTCATTTCAGCTAAAACATATTTCAAATTTCACAGAGAAATTACATGAAAGTTGCTTTTTACCCGTGCACGAAGATGCAATTCTTATGCAGTGGGGATGCATACGAAGTGAAGTTCAGACTTTTAATAAAGTCTCCCCAGGCACATCTAGTTTGTGCCAATCAGTCCCTAACTCAAAATGTTTTTATGTTTCTGGATGGGAACAGCTTGAAGTGTCATAGAAAATCACTTGTGTGCATATCAGACAACAATACTTAATTCTATAATTAGCTTCAGGCAGTGAGACAACTAGAAAGATTTTTAAGCTTATTTTGGCAGATTTTCATTTAAAAAAAAGCTGCTCATTAAAATAACTTTTGTTTTAAACTCCCAGACCTTGTTTGCAGGAGTACTTTTATACTTTTAAGGAACAGAAATAAAGCAAAAAAACATGCATGAGAAAACTTGGTGAAGTTTATAACAGAAAATACATACAATAGGCCCTGATGTCTCATGTATTTTAATGAGAAAGAATACACAAAATTACTTAGCTTTAAGGATTTGAATGCATCCCTAATGAGGATAATGTCCTGCCCCCAGGTCCTCATGGTACAGAAGAACTGGATTACAAAGAAAATAAGTGAAAAATAATTTAAGGATGATGATGGTTTCAAGATGCAAAATATTGTTAATTCAGGGGGAATTGGAATTGAAGTAATAAACTAGAAATACACAAAAATGTATGAGAAAAAAACACTTAATCCTCTACCCAAGTCTGGAAGAATGACTTTGAAGTAAAGGTAAAGATGGTTGGGCAGTTTGTAACCAAAATCCTTTTGGTTTTAAGGAAATTCTTCTTCAGTGACATTCATGGTGCTTGGTCACAAACTGCAGAGAACAGTCAGTCTGGGGACTTGATGTGGGCATCCCTGTGGTTGAGTTGGGGACCTGGGAGTCTCAGGTGAGCCACACTGCCCTAGGCCAAGCACGTTTTAAATGCTTTTTGAATAAAGCCATTTCTAACTTTATTCCACTGCCCCAGTGGAATTTCCCATGTTTTGTTGCAGGAAGTCTGTGATATTTATAGTTTGTTGCTGTAAAATGGAAATATCTTGTTGCACTATGACACAAAATAACTCACACACTCACTAAGATTAAAAGAGTAAAAGGAAGTAACTTTTATTTCTGACCTTGCAATATATAGAATTTCAAAAGTGACAGTGAATTGGAGGATAAAATTGCCGTCTCTCCGACTACACTGGTTAAACCAGCAGTCCATCAATTCTCTCTTCGTACAAAGAAGAATGCAAAACAATCATTATTTACATGAACAGTGCATGAGAACTCTAGTAGAATTATGTAAACATTAGAAGGCATAGAAAACTTCTTTTAAAAGAACTTTAAAACTTTTAAAAGAACAAGGTGACAATATCTCTCCCTCCACCTTAGCTTATGTAGTCCAGGTGCATTTGTTGAAAAACTGTAAACCCCACGAGAGACAGCCCCATGTCTTCTCCCTGCTGCCACTGGGCTGGCATGTTCCTTGCCCCTGCAGCTGCTTACCATGAGTACTTTTCTCACCTTCAGATTTGGAGGGTGTCAGGACTTGGTCCTGTCACTGATGCAGCACATGGAGGATTTTGCAGTGGGTAGGGAAGAAGTCTTGGCTTTGGAAGAAGTCTGGGTGCTTTGCAGCTAGCCATAAATCAGCTGTATTAGATCACTATGAAAGCAGCACTGCACAAACCTGGCAGTGAACTGATGGTGACCACCACTGCCTATCTCTTCATTGTGCTAATGTGCCTGCTCTGTCCTTCACCTGCACCTGGAACCCATGGCTACCTTTGCGCCCCTCTTCATAATACCCAAAGGAAGCCACATTCAGGATCACAGTCCACAATTGCCTCTGCTGGTGCCAGGGATGGGGAGTGAATGGGGATTTTAGTAGTCTTTTATTACTCACTACAGATATTTGTTATTTTCAATTGGGTTACTCTGCACAGCATGTACTTCTCTGGGCTGTCAAAGGTTCTGCAGACATCCATCTCCTTGTGTCTTAATAAAGCACTCAGCCTGGGAAAAATGAGTACAAAAATGCGTTTTTAAGAGCCTTGAGTATATAAATTGTTTTATTCATTGAGCAAGTAGCATTTTTTTACATCTTTGCAGGAATGTGTTTTATAGGAGAACAAAACTCTTTTCAGCCAGGTGTTGCATCTATTTCTGTTTCAAAAGGAAAGGCTTAGTTACATTAAACAAAGCTTAGCATTAATATTGTGATGAAGTACATAAATATCTTTCAAAATCCCTGTAACATTTTTCTGCTCAAAGGAGTTAGTGTTGTTTTCTCTAAAGTCTTCTCAAAGTGAAACGCTTCATTAAAATTAATAAGGCTGTGACCTACATAGTTCACAATAGAATTAAATACTGTAATAATATGACCATATTCTTACTGTGCAGTTAATTTGTATTTTTCTTTATATTATGAGTATTCGCTTCTTCCTTTGAAGTTTGTGTCGGGCTAGTGTACAAATAGTGTTCATTGAATAAGAACAG